GTGTGCTCTTCCGATCTCCCCAAAACCCCAAAACCCCAAGAGTAGTAATTTAATAGATAAAATCGAAATGAAATAGAAACAGGAAAAATTATTATAAAGGAATTTAAATATAAATTAACGGAAAGCAATATGAATTCATATAGATCAAAACAACAGACCAAAGGTAAATCCTCCAATTTAATCTTAATAGAAATCCCGAAGACTTGCTCCTCCGACAAGGTTAAGAAAACCCAGAACTTCATCTAACAGAAATTCGATAATGTAGCCAAGAAAGATATCCCGCTAAGCCCCAACACTAGGGTCTTAAATATTTAGCAAAATTAAATACCTATATCTCAGCTAAATCAAACTGTCCCTCTTAAGTTTTAATCAGACAAGGTCCAAGCTATTGACTCTATTATCAACAACAAGTAAATTATATAAAATAGTGGTACTAATGAAGTCATCGTTACAAGTAACCAGTAAGCCTATGAGAATGCCAGGCTGGTAAACAATTTTACATCCAATTAATACAACACTGCAGGATCAACCTATCATTAATAACGAACTAACTCATCGGGGAATAATAATTAAAAATGCAGTGTCAATTACAAATAAAATCCTGCGAGCTTAACAACTACTGTTAGTGCAGCCTATCAAAAGGCGACTCCGAAGAGCAATCTGAATCAAACCTAGGCTATGTACAATAGTGGTGGAATATCAATGAATAATGCCTCAACTACTGGAACTATGCACAAGTAAAATTCTAACAATAATCTGAGAAACAAGTACAACCGTTACCCAACAGTAACAAATAACACAACAAATATTACGAATACGAGTCCTGCCGTTATTCAGACTAACTCCTCAACTAACACTGGATGCGGAGGAAATAATAGCAGCAACGCCCAACAGCCCTCGTTTCTTAGAGCAAATTCAAACTCATCAGGCCAGGTATCCAAGTAGTCGTCCACAAAAAACCTCTTAAACAAAACTTGCTCGTAGATTCCTCATAAGATTTTAGCTTCTGGAACTAATAGCAGCTCTAAGAATTAAATTATTAATAATCACAATAATAGATGTGAGAGTGAAGGAGCCCATAAATACACAGATGGCGATAATAATGCAAGTAGTAGAAATTTACACTAACAACCAACGAATAACTATTAATACAAGACTAATGAGGGGAACTCAGGATCTTAAAACAGAACTTAAAAGGCATCCTCTTAGCTCAATGAATATAAGCAGTTTATGGACAAATAAAAGTAGATCATAAAGTAATTATCATAAAATAAATTGGCAATGATGATTAATGCAATGAATAGTAATTCTAATTAAGCACTAAACTAAACTGGTCTTTAGCAATAATAGATATAGAATATTTAATTATAAAGAAAACCATCAAATAACATATCAAAGATTCAAAGTCCAAAGAATCTAAGCTTTTCGCTAGCTTAGTCTAATCAGATACTTATGAAAAATTAACAAGAGGTGAGAGAAATAGAAAATCAAAAAGAAAATATAAACAATATAGACTTATCATAGCAATAATAGCAGCAGCTACAATAGTAATAATAATCAGCACCACAAAATCTCTTAAATGTTAAGAAGTAGGATATTTCAACGACTCCAAGAAATCACTTTTAGAAGGAATAGCCTGAAAATTAATAGCTGCAATAAACATAAAAGGTATCAGTTTTAAAAATTGCTCGAGACTCAATTACTCCCAGGGTCGTTCAGTAAAAATAGTCCGAGCCATTAAAGAGAGTTGACAATAACATTGAAATTGATAGATAAAAACAAATCTAAGTTCAGTAGCCAGATCTGTAGTAACCGTAAGAAAATAAAGCTTAATAATCTGAAACCAATCCTAATGATGATAGTATGTGCTTCTCTAATAAGAATTCTCTTGATGACTATATTATTGGAAAGCAGATAGGTCAAGGTGCTTATGCGGTGGTTAGAATTGGTTTACACAAGCCGACTAACAGGAAGGTGGCATTAAAGATCTATAAAAAATACAAACTGCTTGATCCAAACAGAAGGAAATCAGTTAAAAGAGAAATTAAAATAATGGAAAAGATGAAGCATCAAAGTATAATCAGATTATATGAGGTTATTGATACGTCTAAATATGTAATTCTAGTGATGGAGTACGTAGGCGGAGGAAGTTTGCATGGCTACTTAAAATCAAAACCCAATAGAAGACTAGATGAACTAGATGCTAAAAGAATCTTTAAGCAAATCTTAGAAGGAATCAAGTACTGCCATAGTCGGTGCATAACTCATAGAGATATCAAACTTGAGAATCTGCTGCTTGATGATCATAATAACATTAAGATAATAGACTTCGGATTTTCAACATGCATACCTAATGACAAAAAGATTAAGATATTCTGCGGGACTCCCTCTTATATGGCTCCAGAGATCGTTCAAAAACTAGAATATGCTGGACCTCCTGCAGATGTTTGGGCTCTTGGAGTCTTGTTATTTACTTTACTTAGTGGATGCTTCCCATATAGAGGAGCTACTGATAAGGAACTCTACAAAAAGATCATGAGAGCTGATTATAAGATCCCTAGTGAAGTCTTAGTTACTTTAAGTAATGAAGCTACGAATCTCTTGAAGAGAATATTTGCTATTGATGCCAATAATAGACCAAGTGCTAGAGATATTCTCAATGATCCTTGGTTTCAAGAGAAATAAGATATTAGCATGTGCACACCACAGAGCATTATGAGATCTCACTCTTATCAGCCAGAAATGATAAAATCAAGCACTGATATTGCTCAAGAAAATCATGCTAAGCCAGCAAATCAAATGAAAAACAATATGGATCACACTTAAAACTAAACCTTTAACAATTACTTCTCAAGTAACCAAGTGAGTTAGGAACCCTCATCCTATTATAATCCTCACAAAGAAGATCACAGAAATACTGAAAAAAATGGCATGCCCAATCTTATGGGAGCCTAGAATATTGGGGGTCAAACAAGAATGAACAGTGCTAACCCTCCTGGTGTTTAAAATCAGAATATCAACACAACAGGAAACAATAACAATAATCAAAATATCTTCTTCCTACTATCTCCTTTAATCAATAATAGCTAAATTACAACAAATAATGTATGCATGGGAGAACAGAAGCAGCAAATGACACCAATGAATATGCAGACTCCTTCTGAGATTTATTAGCAAAATTTCGTTGATACTCTAGATGAGTCTATAATCAACACAATTGTAATGAAATTAGGATACTCAGTTGACGAGGTAAGAAAAAATGCCAGAATAGAGAATTCCTTTATCAATGTACTATACAGTAAAATAATTTAGGAACAGAAAGCCTTTTAAATGAATAACATGAAGAGCACTAACAGTCTTTCAGCCAAGACCAACATATAACCGAATTTCATTCCCTCAGTCAGCTCATCTATAAATCAATCCAATTTTTCTACTAACAACCTTAACAATACCCAGCCATTCAGTGGTAACTAAGATAAATCTAGAGATAATAACAATGCAGGTCAGCCAAATGCTCACAACTATTACGGAAGCTTTAGTGATAATCACAATTAACTCTCTTAAACACTTGGGGGTGGCAGCAACTTCTTAAATCTTTCTATTTTATCGAATCAAAATTAACAAGCCATGCAAAATGCTGAAAGGAATAGAGACTCTTCAGCAGGGTATCACAATTTTAATCAATACGATATGATGTCTTAAGATGACCAGATGAGATCTCATTCTAATGTTAGGGGTTAAGGGTTCAATAACACTCAAGGGAATATTTCTCAATTTCTTAACTAATCCCCATTTGTGATACCTAATAATATGACTGGTATGGATATGAACAATGATTCAAATCTATGCAATTTATCACCTGATTAGCATCACTTCAATAATACCTAGCCTTTCACCAATAACTATGACTCATGTGGGAGCTCAGGCATTTAAAACTAGAAAAAGGGAGGTTCTTCTAGTTTTCTTGGAGCAGCACAGGAACTTAAGTCTTTGATGCTTTAAGGAAATAATAGAAGGTAAAATATGAACATGCAGGGAGGTAATAACAATAACAGTAATGGCAATATGCTTGTAAATCAGCAATAAAATTAGACATAGCAACCACAGATAATTAATAAAACTCTTCAATGGAGGAGAGAGTTTCTCTGAGGACTTTCACTTTGATCCCTCAAATTAATAGTTTATAAGTTATTTATTATTCATTATCAATTTATCTTAAGGGCCATTCTATTTCTCGATAGGGGTTTTGGGGTTTTGGGGTTTTGGGG